CTTCCTATTGTGAGGGTGGGATCATGGCAAGAACTTGGACTATACTGCAGAAACGGTTATACTCTTCCTGTGCCACCCACGGGCACGAAGGAGGTGTCAATTCGGGTGGCTTTCCTGGAGTCGTACCCCATGCGACCTGGAGCTTGTGGAGCCAGTGCAAGCAGACCCCACGTTGCGACGTCAGGCGTTTCGATCAAGGCAGCCCTTTCGGTGTGCTTGACCCCCAAATCCCGGTCCCATCGAATTTCACGATCTGTCCAAGGATTCTTCAATTCCTGAGGGTTCAGAGTTCTTCCCGTGTGGGAGGAGCTGGTGGGCCTCATCGAAGATATGTCTGTAGAGCATGAGGCCTCCAGCGGATCCAGGCAGTGTGGGGTGGTTCTGGGAGAAGAATACGAGCTAGTTTTCTCTCCTTTTTAAGAAACAGGTACACTCCCAAGTACCAGTAGCACAGTGATAGTCAGTCTTTCCACCTTAAGACGTGCTTGGTTGCTTCTTGCAAGCACAAGCAACGTGGATATATATATATATGGATAGTACGCACATGCTCTGGTGACACCAATGTGGTTCCTGGGATTTGTCCACATGCTTGTAGGTCATCGGACGAAGGACCATCAGACCATCATCGATCGTGACCGAAGGAATTGGAGTCCCGTACCGCCTAAGTGACGTCCTGTACCGCCTAAGTAGTGACCGAACCCCAAACCAGGGGATCAAGTAAGTTCGGTCAAAGAGGGTCCACAGGGAGGTGAGTTCTCGATCCGCGGACCCATCAATGGATGGACCCAGGGCATACTTGGCGCCCAAAAACCAGGATGCGGATCCCCTCGGTCACGCACTCAAGATCGCTCGGTGTGGCACGAACTTCCGGAAGACTTCAGGTGGGTGATCCCGTGATCCCCAAATACAGAGGATTGCAGGGTTTTCAATACATTTTCAGGTGGGGATCTACTTTTCTACCTAATGTAACCAATTTAATATACTCGAAACCGGACGTTCTCAGTCCGCCTGGCACCCGACCTATTTGCTTCTACGGCCCGGTTCGGCTGCGCCCAGGCCGGCGGTGGTGGTCTGCAGCGACCTGAACTCGCTGCCGGGCTCCGAGGCGTATCGGATCCTCACCAGGCGTAACTTCCGGGAGTTCGGACGGGGGGACCTCCGCCGCGCGGCACGGGGGGGCGCGGGACTGAGACCGCCGCACGGGTGAGTTGGGGCGGGTGACCCCCTTTGGGGCGCGGCACTTCGAGACGGACGGTGACCGCTTTGGGGCGGTGACCGCACGAGCGCGTCGGACACCGTGCCGCTCCGGAGCTGTCGCTGGACGGAGCGGGGGGAGCCTGCGGCGGGCACGATCGGGGGGGGTCGGTGAAGGGGTCGAACGGCGCAGGTCATTGAAGGACGCTGGCTCGGCCGACTCCCAAAGCTACGTGGAAGGTGCGGACGGAACTTCCCGTGGCGTGAGGAGGACGGAGGGAATGAGGGTGAGAGGGGTGAAGGGGTGGGGAAACAGGCAGGGATGGGCCTTTCTTTGGTCTTATTGGGCTTCGATCTGCGCCTGGCATGATTCTGGGTAGCTTCTGGGTAGCTTCAACGCATCCCACGGTGAGATGTCGGGTTTTTCGCCACTCTGCGTGGATCGCTCTCGGTCACAGGGTGGAAACTCCAAGAGTTTGCTTCTGCCAGCAGCTCCAATCCAGGGAATGTGCTAAGCACCCCGGGCCACCGAGCTACCGGACGGTGGAGACGTGGGGAGTGAAGCGATCCTGGAGCGGACGGAGCGGACGCGTGGACCCCAAATACCATGCAAGATGTGGGTGACACCACCCATACTCTGGTTTCTAGACCCCAATATACCACCAGCCATGACACAGCCATGAAAGTGATCAAAGGCTTCATGTCTTTGGCACATGAACTCCTTTGAGGTTTCTACGGCCCTACCCACCGTCGACGTGGGTGCCGTTGGTGGGTCGGCGCTGGTGGCAGGTGCCTTCACCACTTTGAAGCCGGACGTCTACTACTTCGCACCGCCCAGGGCGATGGGAACCCAGGGAGAGCAGTGATGGGAAGCCAGTGGGGTGATGAGTAAGGGCGCGAGTGCTTGGTGGACTGGTGTCCGGGCAAGGTGGTGGGGAAACCGTTCCCGGGGGGCAGATGGGGCCAGATGGGGCCAGAACTGGTGGGAGACATGTCGTGAATTCTCTTGAACCGTTCATTTCTCAGTTCGCTGGAGCCACCGGAGGAGCGAAAAGTCAGCAGTCCTTCTAACAAGGTGCCAAGACAATTTGTGGGGCTGCCAAACGCTTCCGCCGACGGCAGGGCCAGTATGACGCGCAAGACCAGTGGCACTGGCAGGCACCGTGGACGATGCCGCGAGAAGTGTGCCGACGTGCGATGCTATGGTGGTGAGTGGGGTTGATATGCACTTTAAGCGACCTTTTTCCTTGTAACAACGAGGCTTCAGAAGCTGCAGGAAACTTCCTCGTCTTGGGCGGATCTGCATGGATTCAGAGGTTTTGCTTTTGTTGACCTTAGGCTCTGGTCAACCAGCAGAGTGACCAGATAAGCTCAGACGAGCCACTCCGCTAATTCTTTGTGAGCTGGCAAACGTCACACCCCCTTGAAGCATCTAAAAAGGAATTCGCAGCTGAAAGAATTTGCTTCAAAGAAGGTGAAGGCACTATGATATGAGGTGTATAATTCGTGTGTGCAGAATGCACCCCCCAACTTCTTCAAACCTCAGCTGCTGCCTCCCCCAAAACACACCTCTCTTTACCAGCTCGCCTGACCGGCGAAGCTGGTGAGGAAGGCCGCCATGAAGTCATTGACTACATCTTCTACAGCCCTGATCTCGGCCTCTTGAAGCCGATCACGATCCCTCACATGAAGAAAGAGGAGATCGGGGATGGGAAGAGGTCGGCACCTTGCTGGAGGTCACCGTCCCTCTCGAGGTCCGCGGACTGGATCCACCGGGGAACGCTGGCGACTGCCTGGCGACTCGTGACGGTCGGCCGAGACCCGTTTTCAGCGGAGCGGGGCTTTCGGGACGTCGTCCAACGTCGCTGGCTCCACCCGTGGGTGTTCGGAGCTTCTCGCCGCCGCGCGGAGCCTCCAGGACGCATCGGAGCCTCCAGCCAAGCGCCAGAAGGGTCCCGCCCCCTGCGCGACCGCGCGCTTTTTTATTTTATTTTTTCTCTCTCTCTCTCTCTTTAAATCTCGCGAGGTGAACGAACTGTCGGGATGACGTGGGTTTCGCATATTGCAGTTGATTCTTTTCTGACATACTGGCCTCCAAATCTGTCGGTTTTGTTACATTTCCTGTTAGATTGAAGGGTTCGGCCTGTTTGTTTGTATCTGAGCTCCGAAATCCCCTACAAGCTTTTCTTGCTTGGTGTCTTTCATCATGATGTAGGATGCTTCCATTGACTTGCAGGGACTATCAGCTTCGGAGACCGAACATGGGTGCACTGCCCACTCCCTGTTAGGTGGCAACGATCGCCCGAACTGCCTCCAACGGCGCTCCGTTTCAATGGGAAGGGACCACATGTGTTCAACAGATAGGGTAGGGCCCCACAAAGAGGATCTCGATCGAAAATGATCGAACTATCTTTCTACCGATAGTCCTCCAGAATGCCCCCCCTTTTTTAGAAAGAACACCTTCCGTGTTTGGAAGCCCTGTGCTCCTGCTGCTCGGAGCTTTCAGATTTTTCGAGCAAAACCTGACTGTCAGGTGGTCAGGTGGTCAGGTGGTCAGCGGCCCCGGTGGAGTTCGGTTCGCTTTTGGTTGGGTGACCGGGTAGGCTCGGTAAAGTCGTTGTCTTTTTCCGCAGACGTGTCACACTCAAACTGTAGAAGGGCCAAAAGGGGCACCCAAGAAATCTTTAAGATGATGCAAGTCAGCCCAGTGAAGTCTGCTGTCAAGCCCTGCCTCCCCTGCGAGGATGAGGAGGACGTTTGGGCAAAGCTGGCCGAAAAAAAGACTCTATCTCTCAGAGTGGTCCGATCTTCACATGTAAAGATCCCTTCATTAGTGAGGTCATGCCAGGTCTGCATTTACAGGATCTTTTGGACCACTCGTTCAATTCTGACCGCGCTCTTGACCACTACCGCGCTGTGGCCGCCTGTTGCGCAGGAGGAGTGCATGATGAAGATCGGCCACGTGGAGAAGCCCGTGAAGCCCGATGCCTTCCTCTTCGATGAGGATGTTATTTTGAGCGAAGGTCACTTTTTGTGGGAGTTTCTAATGGCAACTTGCAACGATTATACGGAATCCTTTCAGAAACTGATTGAGTAGGTGGAGATGCTTGATCTTGACATCTGCGGGAGTTGCTTTTGTGAACAAACAGAGAGGATACCTTTTCTTGGGGTTCTTTCGCCAGGACGACATGGACTTCGACGCCTTCTCCACGCGAGCTCCCAGCATCGAAGACGAGGAGACGACCACAATTGGCGGAAACTCTGCAGTTTCCGTGTGAAGACGTGGTTTTTGGAGATGTTTGGTTTCTGCGGCGTTGGGTGGCTTCGTCTTCGACCAACGTTAATAAGGGGTTCCCCCCGGTTCGGGATAGCCCGCCGTGCCTTGGAACATGCGAGTGCCTAAAGCTTCTGTGGGTTCGGAGAGGGTCTGTCTCATCATTCCAGGAGAGGTTGAGAGACCTTATAGGACCCTGTAGTGGTACATATGGGATGGGCTATGGGCTGTTCAACCTCAGTTCCTGTGGGGGTCGAAGTACCAGCGAAGCATGCCGCCATGAGACTCGCCCAGTAGACTCAGCGCCGTCTGCGCATGGCCCAGGCAACACCGTGAAGTCCACTCGGAGCCCCGAAGCCCTATCACACCCATGCAGGAACCCCTATCATCGACTCCAGCCACTCCACCCCCCGGAGCTCTCGGATGGACTGATAGGCAACCAAACCTCCGGGTCTCCGACCTCAACACCTCGGCGCCTCCGCGACTCGCCTGCAGGAGCCGCTCTTCCCCAGCAAGCTGCCAGCGGATCGCCAGTCGGAGGTCTCGACCTGTACGGGCTCCGGGAGCACCGTGGGCTGGGCGGCCATGGAGGAGGAGGAGTGGAAGCCGAATCCCAAGAGGGCTCTTTGGAAGCAGCAGGAGAGGGTGGACTGAACGGGCGAAAAATGCGAAAAGGTCTTTCGGCAGTGGGGCGAGACAGACAGAGAGAGAGATAGAGACAGAGACAGAAACAGAGACAGAAACAGAGACAGAAACAGAGAGAGAGAGAGAGAGAGTGATCAGCGGAGTGACGCATTTCGAAAAGACACATGTCACTAGGAGTCACTAGCAGTTCAACATGGGAAGGATGGTGGCAACACACTGGTTTCCACCTTGTCCTTTGGTCGCGGCTGGCGCATTTAATTGCAGGAGGATGAAGCATTGGAGGAGTTTCTGCACAAGTTCAAGACTCAAAGCAGCACATGGATCGGGGCCAATCCGGGGCCCAGTGGGATCTGATCAGCTTGGGGTCTGTGGTTTCTTAGCTCCGTTCGCAGCTTCGGACCCGCTGACTCACTCCACCGCCCACGCTGAGGTTCGAGAAGGGCCTGAATCATCCCCAGAGCCGACGCCGCTTCTCGAAGGATGAGCAGATCTATCCCATCCACGTCGCTGCCAGGAGGGTCAGCTTGAGATGTTGAAGCTTTGAAGATCTGGAATGTGATGAAAGATTTAGGGTGATGATTCAAAGATTGATCTCCGGTGAAGCTGTAGATCATCCGGTTTCTGGAACAGAGGTGTCCGGATGATGCACCAACTGTGGTTTCTGGAGGTGTCTGTAGATCTGAGGTGGTTCATCTGAGTTTAGTGAACCACCTCTGCACTTTCGACTCGCACGACCAAAGCAGAGCCCCAAACGATCCCAGCGGACGTCCGGACCTCGCCGCGGTGGTGAAACACGGGCGTTTCATGGATTCAGCGTGTTTGACTTACTCAGATTTTCCGGTTTTTCATGGGTCTTCCTTCGTGCCATGGGCCATGGGCAGATGAAAAACCCTGAAGGCTTGGTGCTTCAGGTCTCCAGCTCATCGGTCAGTTCGGCGCCCGCGCCACCGGTCGTTTTGGCGGGAGGATCGGACGACATCAGCTCGTGCGCCTCATGGTGCAGCGGGGCGCCGACCCACAGCAGAAGAGCTCCAAGGCGGAGCGAAAAAGGGGGGAAGGAACGCTAGGGAGGGGAGGGTTTAGGGACGAAGCCGCACAGCTCTCGTTGTGGTTTACAGTTTACACTTACGGAGTGCACTCTGTGCACTGGCCTGCATGGCATTTTCTTTGTTCTGCCAGTGCCATGCCTGGTAAGGCCAAGCTTCAATGCCGGAGCACAGATCAGCAAGTTCAGGGAGCGGCTCGCCGTTCCGAACCCCTCAGCTCTTATTTAGCACCACTTACATCAGATATCGTGACTCACCCTGAGTAGTTCGCAGAAGCTCTTTGTCGAACTCTGCCAGCCCTGTCTTCTCTCATCTTCCTCATGGATGTTGTGTCACAGATTTACAACTTCGTCCGAGAAATCCTGGACCCATGTAGTGGAGAAAACACGGTCCCACCCCGCCAATCGAAATACAGTAGGCGTTCTTCCATGTCATATGCCATAAGATGCCTTTGCTTTCTCCGCTTTCCCTCACTCACACACTTGCCTTTTAAGAGCGCCCGGCTCGTCTTCAGGGGCGCAAACCCATCGACTTCGCCTGGGAAAGGGCCGACTTGGCCGGTGAAGGACGGCTCATCATCGAGTTCTTGCGCCTCGTCTCGCGGAGCGGATCCAGAGGACGTCCTCGGGCCGACCAAAAGCCGAGCTTGTTAGTACTATTATTTTATACCGAATGACATCAAAACAAACACATATAGTCCCGACATATAGACCGGACTTCTATTTTATACCTGACATACCTGACATCAAAACAAACACATTATAGTTTATACATGTTTATACCTCTTCCAACGACATGCAACATTTCTGCCGAACTTGGCTGGTGCATCATTTCGCATAGTTGGAGGATCTAGGTATGAGTTCTTTTTTTGGATGTTGTGGTACAATAACCAACACCATCGTCAGTTTTGGTAGATGGTGACTACTGTAGTGTCACGGTCTGAAATCAAAGGTGGAGACCGGTGGTTTTGAGTGTTCCAGGTTTTTCACTTCGTCAGTGGCAAGTCCTTCTCCGAGTTGCTGAGACCAAGATCCATTGTTTCTTCCCCAAATAGCTTTTCTGTGAGGGGTTCTCAATTCTGGGCCAAGAGGACTTCTGGGTCAAGATGATTTCAGGCCTTTTGTCTCCCTTGGTCTCCACATGGCTCTTTTGGATGCTGGGCTGAGATGATCCTGCTTGTCTCTCTTTGCTCCCCTTTGTCTTGATGGCCGTTCTGGCTGAAACGATTCTGCTTGGTCTTCCTTTGTCTCCCGTGGCTCTTCTTGGATGCTTGGGCTGAGATATCCTGCTTGTCTCGTTTGTTTTCATGGCTCTTTCGTTTGTGGCGGCAACAAAGACCTCGTTTGCTTCGCCGGCAGACACATGTGTCCTTGTCCAGCTGCCGCCGTTGGGGGTCGATGCTGGTGTAATTAAGTTATCGAAGTCAAACCACCATTGATTTGCTGTTTGTTTTCTTTTTTTTAAAGTAGCCATTACGGAAGAACCATTGTTTTACGGATTTACACTACGAAAACAGCTCCAAGATTTTAAGCAAAAGCCTTTGACTTCCATGTCATAGTGTTATTGCTAGTCGTTTTCATGAGGACACCCTGCCTTCACGCTGGCCTGACGGGCGCCCATCAAAGGGCCACCATTTGGATGGAATCCAGATTGCAGAACCACAGGTATAGATGTACTTGTCCATGTATGGTAAGATCACACCTTCTTGATGCAATTTTTAGGCTTGTAGACACTCTTCGGCATTTCTCGGGGGCCATAAAACCCTGATCTGGTCCGGGTTGGGACTTCATCCATTCATCCAATGGAGCGCTTGGAACCAGCGAAACATGGGCTGAACCGCTGCCCTTCATCCGGAGACCCACGGTCCTCCTCTTTTTGGCTAAGGAAGAGCAAGACACCCATCTTGCCCATGCGAGACTTTTTCGAGATGATGCAGCAGTGAAGGGTGCCAAGAATGGCTTCTTGACGGCACATCTCAGACATTTTTCACCTTCACACCTGATATTTTTACGCGAAAGCTATTGAATGCATCTCAGGATGTGCCAAACTTGAACACATGACTCTATTTGTCTCTTTCCCTGGCTTCCGAAAGTAACCCAGGAATACAACGTGCACTTGTACGGCTGAGCCTGAGCCATGGGTTGCCCCAGATTCCAGCAGCGTATGATTACAGTAGCATGTTGAGCTCGGAGTGGAGTAGACATGAGTAGATTGCGCAGTGCACTCTATCCTAGCCGCTAGCCGCAGTGTCTTGGAGGTATTTCTTTCCTTGTCTTGTCTAGAAATGGAAAGCCGCGAGAATAGGAGGACTGGTCAGCAACTCTTGAGCTGGTTTGGAGGGTGGAGATGAGACGTCAGTCGGTCGGTCGCAAGGTCCAGTCGGCTTCGAGACCGCAGAAGAAGAGGGGATATGATGTGATTCTGGCGAACCGAGTGAGGTTGAAGAGCCAAGTATCTCAGTATCTCTGCCACCTATCCCACGAAAGGCACTCGGCACTCATGTCAAACAACATGAGAGACGGGTCGAGACGGTCGGTCTCAAGACCTGGAGTGGGTTTTTAGACCGGCCGTCCCGTCCGCTGGACCAACTGACCGTCCCGTCCGCAACGAGGTCGATGAGGCCAGGTATTGGGGCTCTTCTGAAAAAAAAATGGATGTTTTGTGGCCTTTGCCTCTTTTTCTTTTTTATCTAGTTGATTGTAGTCAGTCATGGGTAAGTCAGCCATGCTTGGGGCTACGCTATTTGGTACATCTGTGGTGGGTCAAAGGGTTTTCAGTGACTCAGGCTTAGCCCGTGACCGTTTGTTACATCGACACCCAAGGAAATCGATGTAAAACTCTCATTTTGCCTATAGCCTGAACAACCGTTTTTTGAACATGTAGCTATCGCTGAATCGGAGTGGCCAATCCGCGCCGTGATCAAGGGCCTTTCCGAACGGCCGCGGTAGTTCGTTGCGGAATCTGTTGCAGTTCGGCCCTGGTCCGGGTGTTCCTTTTTCGAAGTGACCCAAAAGGGAGCTGCGATTTTCGTCTCTCTGCATCTCCACCCAACCGAAAACATGTTCGACCAGCCAGCTGAGCTGCGACCAACTGGATGTTCGAGGTTTCCAGCATCTTTTCGGGCGCTGATCTAACCAGGGTTTTGAAACATCGGACATGCTCTGGAAACCACGATCTGCAAGAATGAAAAGTCTGCGATGGAGGGGGTAGTGAAGGGGTAGTCACCGGGTGGTCTTAGACGATCAGGACATATTAGGACCTTTTCTCTGTAGAGACGGTCAGGACCTTTCACCACCAGGATTGAGATGTGGACAAAAAA